TACTTGTAACTTGTTCAATTAACATCATTTGTAATAACTAGCTTTTCCCCTACAACTATTATTTTAACACCGCAAAAAAATATTCTCAAACAACATCCACGCGGATCTCGATGCATTATAGTAAAGTGTGTCTGTTAACCAATATCTTGCGTCTTGTGAAACGTATCGGGAGGAGTTTTCGTTTCTTTTTAGCGCCCAGCTGCAAGAGCAGGTTCCTGGCTTCAGCAAGCGTCGCAGCGTCCACTCCGTCTTCTATTCCCGAGATGAATCCGCTCTCAGGGCGCGACAGAGCCGGAGCGTTTGCCGGCAGAAGGGAAAACCAGCGGTCTATTTTTGCACTCGATGACAACTATTAATAATCAAATAAAATGATATAATGCTAGTTGATACTAAAAATACACATTTCATATTATAATATATTATACATTTACCTCTTTATTAAAGTCTCCACAAAAAAAACTTTTAGATGCTTCTTGTTCTAGTATTATTATATAATTATTCTACTTTATTGATTGTATTCGCATAATTTACTGTACATAAGTATTTTTACATTGTTAAAAGAATTATTAAAATAATTGTCCGTAATTGACTTGGTATATACCCATATTATGTGTTTATGGACATAATAAAAAAAATTACATATAGTGTGGCATGTTTGATATCACGTGACCGAAATATTATAAATAATACCTAAAATTAAGGAATCTCGCAACACCATTTGTTTTCATTACTTACATATTACAGTAAATAGAATTGGTGAAGTTGTTATGTTTCATTCAATGTGGTTAAGTTGTTATTAAAACGAATTTTATAAAAATTCTCATTCAAAGTTCACATTTCAACCTGATCATATAAACGTAGAAATCTATCCGGCTATTAATGTCAACATTCATATATTGCTACTACAGGATAGCAAATTTACATTGACCATTCCTTATTATTTTCTTTAATTGAACAATTACTTTGAAGTATTAACGAGTTAGTTAGTTAATTACTAAAAAAAAATTCTTAATGAAAAATAACCTTTTATTATCAATATGTTTGACCTTTGTTTGTCCTTAAATGACGCCATCGTTGGCTTTATACAAACAGATACCTTAGTCTATATTTTTATTTACTCTGTGTACGACTTAAATGTCAGTTTTGTCAGGACTTTTTGGCGGGAACGCGAGGAGTGAAGTTGTGTGGTTTATGTTATTCTCTCTATTTAGTGTTTCTTCAGGTTTAAATGTGTAATAACGGTGGTTTATTAACTGTTTAATATCTGTGAAAGTGCACAAATGTGGGAAAATGAAACAAAGCCGCTGGACGTAACTTCTCGGAATCCTCCAAAAAGTCCACTGAAAAAATCTCGGTAAATGACCACCATTTTACTGAGATTATATTTCATCCCACCTCGTTTCATTTTATTTCATCCCAGTTGGTTAATGTCTCAAATTAATCATCTTCATTTCATTTCACTCCTATTATCATTTTTCATATAAATAAGAATATAAACTAAAATAAGACATGACTTAAGGTCTTAGTTACCAGGTGATAAAATCATTTAAAAAAAATCAGCTTTATGATTCTATTGTTAACAGCAAAACACTTTTATAATTTCAGCTCAAAGCATGAAGGCAGTCGTGACTAACACTTTTAAGATTTATCTATCAATGCGGTTAATTATACTAACGTTTTTTTTGCTTAGATGGTTGGACGATCTGACGGCCTACCTGGTGTTAAGTGGTTACCGGACCCCTTAGACATCGATAACGTAAATGCCGCCACCCACCTTGAGACATGAGTTAGATGCCTCGGTTTTATAGTACAACGGCTGCCCCACCTTTCAAACCACATCATTACTTCACGGCATAAATAAGCAGGATGGTGGTTCCTACCCGTGCGGGCTTACAACGCGCTCTTTTTTTTTTTAACTCTGGGAAATCCTTTTACAGATATCATATACAACACGCCCTACCACCAGTAATTACTCAAATTGTTATTTATGCGGGCTTGATTCATGTTACATTATGCTATTCCGTCGTTGTGGGAGTGATTCGTGAACATTTATTGATTACATTATAGAGAAGTTAGTACCTGCCTGCGGGATTACAGATATTGTATTGTAAATAGAAATTCTTCTTCTTTTTCTCCCCCTTATCCCACTAGGTATTGTAAATAGAAATAATTTATTAAATTAATGGGAGCCATTGGTAGAAAGGCGAAAAGACATGGGGCAGGTTAAATTTGAAATGACCGGGTGCCACTGATAGAAGGGCGAAAGTAGTAAGAAGCATGAGATAGGTATTTTTTTTTTAAAACAACTTCGCCACTTTCGTTGTGCCGCTGATTATGTTATCGCATAGAAAAGCGATGACATTATCAATTTAAAAAAATACTACATTGAATATTTAAATAAGTTTCTTAAATCGGTCTATATTTTCTGAAAATAATTTAAGGCACACAATAACTTAAGTCTGAAGTCGTCGTGGCGTAAAGGATAAGACCTCCGGTGCATTCGTATGTAGCGATGCATCGGTGTTCGAATCCCCCAGGCGGGTACCAATTTTTCCAATGAAATACGTACTTAACTAATGTTCACGATTGACTTCCACGGTGAAGGAATAACATCGTGTAAAAATCAAACCCGCAAAATTATAATTTGCATAATTCCTGGTGGTTGGACGTCTTGCATGTCCCCACTGGTAGATACCATCACCGTGCCTATTTCTGCGTGAAGCAGTAATGCGTTTCAGTTTGAAGGGTAGGGCAGCCGTTGTAACTACATATACTTGAGATCTTAGAACTTATATCTCAAGGTGGGAGGCGCATTTACGTTGTAGATGTCTATGGGCTCCAGTACCCACTTAGCACCAGGTGGGCCGTGAACTCGTCCACCCATCGAAGCAATATGTAAAAAAACCATTGAGAGTACAGAGGCAGCCCATGTAGGCAGACAGTCTTTACTTGAACATCAGTATTAACATTTTTGTAACTATGGTCTCGAGTAGCCGGTCAACTTTACCGGCCGTTAGCTCGACGGATCACCTGAACTATGTTAAAGAAAAGTATTGTTTTCTATCGTAAATAAAAGATAATATAGTTATCAAGAAGCTTTTAGTCTTTTGTTGCCTCAATAGACAAATAGACCATCTTATTAAGAGCTGTTGGCGCTGTATGTGAATATCAGCATTACTCAAAAGGTTGTATTTTATTTTTGCTGTTTATAAAATCAATAATAATTATTAATTGAAGGTAAAATTGAGAGAGTCGCTCTGGAGTAGGATAGTTTTATTGATCACACGATTACATAGCACATATTATGAATTGGAATGACATAATTAACATTCAACTATTACATTTAAAGTACTATAATATTCTGCGTTAAACATTGAAATATTGATTACACGACATTGAACAAACAGTTAATTTGTAACAATATTAGTTTGAATAGTATTGTCTAAAATCTATTTGTTTATTAAACTACTCGAAACCACTTGCATCTTTTGAGTACCATTATGAGGAACACTAATACCGTCTCAACGAAATAAAATCAAAGCATTGCCTACCTAGTTTGAAATTGTAAATAAAAAAATTAAAAACATTTATTAAAAGACACAATGAAAAGTCAAATTTCGATTTTACTCAACATCTTTTAAAAGGTAGTTAACAGTAATTCTTAATCTTCACGAATCTATTTCTAAGGTTTATTAAACATCAAAAATCTGATAACAATTACTAAATATTTGCTTTAGATATAAATTCAGAATTACGATTTTTCTAAGATCTATTTCACCTTAAATAATGAGATAAAATTGTATACTGTGGCTTTATAAACACCAATAGCAATGACGTAGAACTTAATGTACTTTAATCTATTTTTTTTGACTAATACTGTTGAAGCATCAAATAACTATTATCTTTTTAATAGATTGTAAACTACACACAAGAGCTATGTATAACGTCAGAGAAAATTACAATACATTTCGTATTTATGAATAGTCCCACATCAAGTCAGTTTAACATCAAACAAAATACGATAATCCTATCAAACGGTGCTTACGTTCCCTTTGTGAATAGCTTTGTTTCTCTGAGGCCAATGATCTGACTATTCGAGAGTGAAGTTTGGAATTAATATGTATCAAGTATTTTTCTACTAAACATATTTGTATAGACAAATAATGGTAGGTTGAATTGGCATTGATTTTTTCACAGGATATTGACTGCAGGTAGCCATGAGGAATAATGTATCAGTGCTTTTTAACAATTACTAGGTGTTATATTTAACACTAGCCTACTGACAGTTTTTGTATACGTATTCGTAACGTAATAGGTCAAATTGATCAGTAATTAAAAAAAAAATAGATTTTATTATTCAATTATCCAATTGTTGAATATAGTGTTTTCTTTAAAAAAAAAAAAAGACTAGAAGTATTATATAGTATTATACGATATATAGTATGACAACGGTATTTAAACGTTGAAGTGTGTAAATTTTACAAAAGCCTAAAAGCGGTCAAGTTGGCCCGTACTAATAGATTCAGTGTAAAATAAATTGAAATTTAAATAATAAATTGTACTATAATAATTCTTGAGATTTAATTGAGGTAACTCTACGGTACAAACTGATCAGCGCCAAGATTAAAAAACTTTGGTACGTTCTAAATTTCCGTTTCTAGATCGGAACGGAAACAGTTTTGGAAACAGAGTTGTTTTAAATAAAATCTTTGGTTACTTTGGCACAATCCAGCGAAGTTACTCCGTACTCCATAAATGTTACTCCGTAAACAACATACAATATAAGGTAAGCATAATGTTGTAGTTTGGCTTCAAGTGAGACTTATGTGTAAAATATAAATTAATGAAGTAGGCAAATGTACCTACCGTCTATGCGTAATATGGAATGTTTATACGTAGTTGTTGATAGATTTGTTTTTTTTTCTCTCTAAACAATTAACCTATACTGTAAATTATTACTTTAATCAAATAATGTGTACTAAATTCAATTATGACAAAATATAAATTGTTTAATTGACAAAATAAAAATTGTTTGAAAAATGCGGTTTTCAAAATGAACAATTTACTAGTAGCTAATAAAACAAAAACAATAAAATTGACGATTTTGAAAATATCACGTGTTTAATACGAATTATTCGACAAAGTTCTATCTCCGTTTTTTAGTTCATTGCCACCGATTCTGAGCCACATAATAATAATATGTTCAAAACTCAAATCCCTAGCTTATTAGGAATTTGAATTATAATGATTCCACTCGAGTCTACTGGACAACGAATAAAAATGTTTATAGCCGAATCACATGACATATGTCCCACTTGAAATGTATCCTGTACTATTGTTGCTTTTAATGATTTTTCTTATTATTATTTTATAACGTCTAGATTTTTTGGATCACACAAACATATTTCATCTAACATTTAAGAGTAAACGACTAGTTTCGCATAAATTCGTTATTCGATTTTTATAGCTGGTCGTAGCATTAAATACCACCGTGGGTTGCATTTCGTACTATATGGGCCATAAAAGTAGAACCTATTTTTAGTGGCGATATGATAAGGATATGCTCTTCGGTCGTCTCACTCATAACTATGTGTTAAATACATACATTAGACTTTTGCATCCCAGACTAGAGCTACGAATGATATGTAAATAAAATTCTATCTAACTAATCGAATTAATACCGAATAATTGTAACTAAGATAGGTATTGGCACCTTTAAATCTTAAATAAAAAAAGAACCCTACGATTAAAGTTCATAAATTTTTCAGTAATAAAATATAGGCGTATAAACTTTACGCTAAATTTACAATCCTCGTGTATTCTTTCAGAGATGAAACACAAAGACTCGGTGTTAAATTTATGAATGCCCAAGATTTCGTTTATTTGGTGGTGTGGCGCGTCCACTGGGAACGTAGAGCAGTCATCATTTCACTGCGATTTGGGACCTTCTCGCTGGTAGTGCGAGTTATAGGAGCAGCAGGCGCTAGTAACTCAACTTGTCCCGGAACTTTCAGCGTATGCCCTGACGTAGACGGAGATTCTACAGGGTGAATTTCCGCAACATCAGACGTGCTCTCTGACGGACTGACCGGCACAATTAACCTCAGTTTTCCATCATCCCCGGTAGCCGCCAAAGTTCCGTTATGAGACAGTGGCATTATGAATGGTATACCGTCATCAGAGCTGAATTCATCGGGGCTAGAATCTTTGGAAGTTGTTGCTTGGCTGTTACTGTACAAGGAATTTTCGGAATGTCCCAAACTCATAGCCTGAGCCATTGCTCCAAGTTCGTCCGTAGAGTTGCATTGATCTTTGTACGTCCTGTGGTTCATCAAGCTTGCCAGATCAGAGTTGCTGTAGTGATTTGTCAGCGGTGGAATGTTTGGAAAAGCGTTAGAGTTCTGATAAAACTGTTGATTTGCATTAAAAGTTGGCTTCTGATCGTTGTTGTTGTTGTTGTTGGAGAAACCACCCATGTCTTGGAATTTAGAGATAAGATAGTTTTGTATTTGATCATTTGTCATGGTTCCGAAGCATGGAGCCGAAGTGGGTCCGTTAGTGAGTTCGGATGTTGGAGTGACACAAAAAGGGGAAAATTTCATATTGTTGTTCTCGACATTCTGAGACACTTTGGTTTGGGCAAATAAGTTAATAAGTGCTTCGGTGCTCAGTTGTTGTTGACTGCCTTTCGGTGAAATTTGTGATTGTGTAGCTTCGTTTATCCCCTCGGCTTGCGTCTGTTCTCAGCAGCATTAACAAACAAATTTAATTTTAAAATTACATTTTTCTAAACAAAAGCCTTTTTCACGTTACAAAGCAAAACACAAATTCATATTTGCTAGAGTAAAAGGTTAGCAAGCATGCTACCATTTATGATGTCTAATGAAATGGACATGTCTTATTATGTTTGCAATCTTATTTCATTCTGAAATATGACGTGAAACTACTTAAGGGAAAATGTTTATTTTAAGGGTTATTAATGTTTCAAAGAGAATGTAGAGATGATTTATTTTGCGGTTTACCGCTACAGTTTCAATCTACAACTTATAAATCAAATTTGAGACTCAGGAAACTGAATATTGTTATTCAACGGAGAAAAGCTTTTCAGAGGTACACACACAGGTGTAGTAGATTCAGTAATTCATGTATCTATTTATGTTATAATATACATGTACATCTAACATCTTTTTAGTAAGATTTTAGATTTGCTTTTAGAAGATGTTTTGCATTAAACTTCAGTTTTAGTTTAACTGTGTTATTCAGAGTAAGTGGCGATTCTAATTACAGCTTTAACTCAATAAGTAACTCATTATATAACCAACAGGTTAACAATATTTACTACACTTGATACTTGGTGTTTTCTGTTAAGTAAATGACTGTAGGAAGTATTTGATTTATTTAAGTCTAAAGTGTTTGCCTTTAGTAATAACTAAACGGATACAGGGGATAAAGAAATCGTTCCCAAAAACAAAAGTAATGCTCATTATTTCATAAGCGATAGCATTGAAAACAGCGCAATCAATAAATTGGATATTTTACAAATGTTAACTTACTAAATGTAGTATATTTTAAAATTTACTGAATAGTTCACACAATGCTGAGCTATGTTATTGCACTTTCGTTTTCGGGGACAGTTCTCTAATAACCTGCTCAATGATTGCATATTCACAGGCAAATTAAAAGCACAATAAAACATAAAACTTAAAATTAACGTATGCACGTAAATAATAAACATTCAAAATTTAAGAATATAACTAAGCAACACAACTAGTACAAAAAATAATAATAAGCAAAACAGTTTTTTTTTTCACAATATTATTATGTAATGTGAACTTAGTATGTAATTTACGATTTTGTGATATCAAGCATGCCGTTTAAATTGCAAATAACACAAACAATTTAATATGTGCATATAGGTAAAGGAGTTACACATTAAAAAAAAAATCGGTCATAAAATAAAACAGATCTACAAGATGAGTATTTGGAAGCTGAATAAAAAGGTAAAATCTTAGAACACAGATAAAAAATGTAATCCTATGAGATTTTCAAGTGCATCAAACACCTACGTGAAACTATAAAATCGGTAGATAGTAAAAAAAAAAAATTTTTTAAATATTCATTTGTAAATTTACCATAGTGAAAATTATTAAAAATTGGTTCAACAGAATGATTTTCAAAATCTCATATGATTCAAGTACATAAATGAAATGAAAGGATTTTATTTTTTATAAGAAATCGTACCTGAGGTAAGAGCGTCAGTTGTTGCGCGTTGATTGGACGCGAGGAGCCTTTCTCGCGTTCTTGCAGGTGAGCCACCAGTGCAGAGATGTGCTCAAGCAACTCCTTGTTGTGAACTAAGAGCTGATGAGTACGAGCCTGGAAAACAATGTCAAGTATTCAATATTGACAACAGAAAGTTCATTGTTAATATGTATAAGGAAACGGCCTCAAGAATAGTAATAAATTTTTGAAAATGCATGATACATAATCAAAGACTTGTTCAAAATACCTGAATAACTTACGAAAATGATTGATTGAAGAAATTATTAATATAATTTAAAGTTTCTAAATTAAGTAATCCACCATTGATTGATAACAAGTTGTTTTTTTTAAATAAGCGAATAATTATGAAGCGTTAAACAAAAAATTAAGACATTAATACGTTTTTTATTAATATTGTATGTAATTCTATGAAATTGAAAAAAATAATCAAACATAGTAGATTAAAATTTATGGCATAGGCAAATAGAGTCGTTTACTTTTTGTTTTTTTTCTTCGACTGTGACCATTGTCGGCCGTAATTAAAACTACTTTTGAGTTTATACTCGCGTATAAACGCAATATATATTATTTCGGAAGATTCGAATATTTATAAACGAGTACGTATTTTCACTGTCTTTGGTTGTATTTATATATTTGAATCTGAAAATTGTGAAGGAATGTTTGTTTAAGCATTACATAATTAAAATAAAGAAGCCTCCATTTTTTTTTCGGGCGCGAATCTTGTATCGATTTATAATTTTTAGCATCATCCAAATTGCACGATCGGCTTTAAATATAAAATCATAATAAATATTTTTTTTAAGATTTCATTTATCAAAAAGTCAATAGTTATTAAAATCATGCTCTTCACGAGCTATTTTTTAGGATTACTAATCATTATAAAATAACTAGACATAGTTCTGGTGAAATGAAAATTTAATTTTGAATAAAATTAATAACATCGCTCTCGAGATTATAATCATGTTAATTTTGTTTGAACGAACGCACATCTAATGCATTTGACGTTGGTAATCAAAACACGAACTAATGTGATGAAAAATAAATTACGGGATATTTTGAATTGGAAATTGGCATGAATCTAGAGAAATTTTCTGAAACACATGTTTTATAGTTTCAATTTAACGTCAGATATCATATAAAGCAAATATCATTTTAATGTGACCACCACAGCTTTAACCGCAAGATAAATGCCAAAAATAATCAATAACTGAAACAAATGAGGACTACTCCCGACAAATATAAATCCGTACTTTCATCAAATATTATAATAAAATCATGCGATCGTTTGAAAGAAGTAAAATTAATAAGTAAAATTCAAATTGATAACATTGCAATAATGCTATTACAATTCTGATTTCGATTCTGATATATATATATATGTTATATTTATAATATAAATACGCAAACAAAATGCTTGACTGTGTGGTTATTTTCGATCTACAAATAGATCTTCTATAATAACAATTCAACCGATTTATGTATACATTTTGGTGACTTTAGAGCTAGTAAATGTATTCAGGAAGTCATCTGTTTCAATAAACTCTTGTATTGTCGCCAAAATACGGCATGTTCCAACAATATGCCTGCTTAAATTTTATAGAATTTTTGAGGATTTATTTATAACGGGTTTCGAAATCACATGCCACTAAAATATAATATTAAACATAAAAATTGCGCTTCCTCAATGTTTGGGAGGTCCACTTTCCTCAATAATTAATGGAATCATTACAAGTACGGATACTGTACAGTATTTTTTTATTGCCTTTGTCGGCAGATGAGCATACGGCCCACCTGACGGTAAGTGGTCACCGTCGCTCATGGACGTCAGCAGTGCCAGGGGCAGAGCCAAGCCACTGCCTACCATTAAGTACTCTCCGCAAGCCTCGTTTGAAGAAGGATATGTGTGAATATGTGAAACACACTGTCGATGAACGCAGCGGTTCCAGATAATATGGATGAACTCTGATCCGATGGCGAGAGGTGCGATGATAAAAAGGAGATGAAAGGATCATCTCGAATAATTCCTCAGAGCATTCTCCATGGAGCACGCGGTATAAAACACACAGAGAGAACCGAAGTCTTGAAATTACCGTAAATAATTCATGTTTTTTTTAATTTATTTGTCATTAGTGAGCCGTTATAGGTTTAATAATACTAGTGGTCTCCCGGTAGTCGAAATTCGACTATAATTATTAATTTATTACTGGTTGTAGGACCTCTTGTGAGTCCGCGCGAGTAGGTACCACCGCCCTGCCTATTTCGGTCGTGAAGCAGTAATGCGTTTCGGTTTGAAGGGTGGGGCAACCTTTGTAACTATACTTGAGATCTTAGAACTATTTCAAGGTGGGTGGCGCATTTACGTCGTAGATGTCTATGGGCTCCAGTAACCACTTAACACCTGGTGGGCTGTGAGCTCGACCACCTATCTAAGCAATAAAAAAAAATTATAAATTTGAATATTATAATGGTTCTATGTTCAAAGACTTTACTACTTTAATCACAGATTTCGCTAAGGCTACAATAAAGACAAATAGTATTTTAGAAAAACAATATTAATCTATTCACAACTTGGCCAGACTTTAACAATAAACAAAAGAATATAATAATATATGCCTGTGGGTGTATCAAATACATGTTGGTGTGTGTAATGTTTTCTTTATTGGTTTAATGTATTATTTATGTATTACTTTAAAAAAATATTAGCATTGTGCACTCCTTCTCTATATTCTCTATAAATGTGGAAAATTTCATACTCCTCCGTCCGCCCCATTTTCGTAAAAACGGGGAACAAAGATTTTACTTTACGTATTATTATATAGATTGTACGTCTTACCTGAGCTTCGCAGCGAGCAGCCTGTTCGGCGGCGAGTTGATCACGTAGCAACAATAGTTGAGCCACAGCCGCCCGCGTCTGTTGGGCTTGTTGCTCGAGACGTTCGCGCAACAGTTGCAGTTGATGTTGCGCACTGAGCGGGGTCGCGGACTCGCCAACGACGTCCGCGTCAGGTATGTCCACTTTAGTCACGCATTCCGGTAAATCTGGCAGATTTATTCCCGGTGTTGGAACGATACGCTGAAACACGTTTATTCTGTTAGAATTCATTGGGTTCTAATTAACGTTCATAATGATTAAATGTTTTGCGTTTTGGTACGTTGATTTGTAATTTGTGTAGGTCGGTACGTTATGTTTACTTAAAACGAGCCAAGCTAATGGCTAGTGTACATATTTGATTTAAAATTATATCTAAGCGCGCGGGTCAGGACTTATAGTACTATTGCGGACTTGTAAGAGTTTACATACTACTAATACCGAAAACTTTAGTGGGCGTCAAAAAAATTGTTAACATATGAACATTGTATTACCATTGCTTCAAATTCAAAACTAGGGAGACTACTCTGTAGGAGACTTTACTCTCTCATTATCTTAGGATAATGTTTAAGTTACTTTGTTTACGTGTTAAACATGTTTGATAACTCCCTCTATACACGTAAACATGGAACGTAACATGAAACACCAAGGGTTGAGTTGAGTTCAATAAAGTCCCCTGACGCCGACCCAAAATTAATACGAAATTAAAAAAATACTAAAATTTTAATACACGTAGAGACTTTGAAAACCATAACCAAAGTAAATACAAAGGATTACGTTCTGTGAACCATAAACGATTGATATAACAACCTTTAATATAAACTCAGATTGAATAAAAATGAAATTAATGTATGTAGGTACGGATCCAATCAAAAAGATCTACACATTTAGCTATTAGGCCGTGTAATGTTAAATTTAGTGACGTCTTAATTCACATTCAGACGTTTATTTTTACGTTTGTAGTTTTGTCAATAGTATACGTGTTTGATTTACTACTCGACTGTTATACAGCTTGCACGGTGTATACATTTCGTGTCTAGAATTTAGGAGGTGCTGACAGATAGACAGACGGACTCCGGCTTGTTGTATGTAAATATGGACCGTTTACGGATTGCAGCCAATTACGCTGCACTTGAAGTGCCTACTGTAAATAAATATGGCTCATATCACAACGTTTAGTCAATCACAAGAGTTGCAAATGTTTGTTTTCTTTTTTTAACAAAATTAAGACTTGTTTTTAGCTTTCGATATTTTCCGAAGAGATTAGATATTTTTTTACTGATTTAAAATTAAAAATAAAGGTGTTCTTCTATGTTTTAATTTCATTGAAGGTGTGTATGCATACCGTTTACTTAATTGTAAGGGAACTTTGTCGCTCATGGGTATAACCAGAGCTATATACTAAAATACTGTACCTAAAATGTTCGATCACCAGTAAAATTTCCAGTAAAAGCATTTTCTTGACTGACATTTAAGTTTTCTAATATCACGATTATCTTTTTATAGTTTATTCTAAACTCCAAATCCTATAAATTGCGAGACGACTTTAATCCTTTGTTTATTGTAGTTTTAATTATAGGTTTTGTTTAATAATTTTTATATAATGAATAACAAATTTATTAAAATTGAAATGAATCTATGAAAATTTATTATACTCATTTAATTAATTGAAATTAAAATAATTGAAATTAAATTAATAAATTACAGTAATTTATTCGCAGTAATTTATTTTCGGTAGGCAGCGGCTTGGCCCTGCCCCTGGCATTTCTGAAGTCCATGGGCGACGGTAACCACTCACCATCAGGTATGCTCGTTTGCCTACAAGGGCAATAAAAAAAAGTCACATTATTCTTGTTGGCATTTCAGGGAAAGTTGTATATAACTCTGTAGTTTAGGAATTTCAACAAATCAATCGCTCATGACAATTCATTAAATCTTTGCCAGAGACTGACTGTTTCAAAACATTTTCTGTCGTACAAAAATCGATTTATCTTTAAGTTTGTTTACACGACATGTCCTATATTTCTCTTTGTGATAACAAGCAGTCCCGAACGTAATTAAAGCTGCTCCATCTATAAACATTGAATATACTCGTATATACAAGAAATCTGGAAACTCGCAACATTTAAATTTTTTACAATCAAATAAACTATACAGCAGCTACGCTACTGTTTTTAAAATACGCGACTTAATGTCGTGACGCATGTATTCATTTCAATTTTAATTAAATTTCAATCTATTTCTAAAGCAAAAGTAAATAAATAGTGTCCATTACAAAATACTAAGTAATTAACCGAAACTTTTAAAGCTACTGAATTAGCATAAAGAAATGTGTTAATTTAGTTGAATTGTTTAGTTGAATTTTCAAGCAGAGCAAGTGTTAAACTTAAATTTATATGAAATACTATAGTTTTTGTAGAAAGATCAGAATTTCGGATAGTCCAAGATCTGATTTAGATCAATTTTCTGATAAATGGGTACACTTTCCAAGGTATGAGAAATATTATTTAAAATAAAATGCTAACCGGAACTGTAACTATTTTTCTGGCAACATTTTGAAGCAGTAAAGAGGAAGAATAAATTAGTAGATTGTGACTATTTTTACTTTATTTCTACTAAGATCATAGAGAAAATAATTCTGAGCAATCTAAGATCAATATATGTAATCCTCTTACTGTTCAAAGAATTTGACAGAAGCGCCATAAGCTGTATTCAGCTAATTTGAGGCAGAATTCAATACAAATATGTAGTATTAAGCCTTTTACAAAACGTATCATACCAACTTCAAGGTCACTTAAAATCAAGAGAACCTAATAGTGAAATACTACAGATATACTTATTCACTTGCCCTCAAAATTATTCAGTTGGAACCTCTCGATAAAAAAATTCCAAAAAAATCAATTTGTTTTATAAATTTAAAACCAATATATTTCAGCTACCGCTATTTTAAGTTAAGTATGTGTAAACTCTTAAAACAGGTTAAGTTAGTGACTAACCTAAATAATCTCCTAAAATACTTACTAGCGATTTCGTAAGATGCTAGTATACATAGAATGCTGATTCCTATGCTAACAACCTAATAATTATGCGATTATACACATCCACTTAATGCCTGCTTCTCTTTCTATCTTCGCTTATATAAAAAGAAAATTTATTGGATTCTCGCTTCAATTACGTATTCACGTCAGTAGACACTGCGAACGCATTTGAGAGCTTCGGCAGATAGCACGGAATCCAAGACATTGGTATGCCGATACTATTATTATGGTTTTGATTTATGGAATGCTCCTCGGAATCGACGCGGGAGAGCGATAACTGTGAGTACTCGAGACTATTTTCAGTGCGGATAATATAATAATGCAACTATTTTTATCTTATCTTTTGGTATGCTGACTACTATTAAACAAAAGTCGAATAATTCACGGGTAAATGTTACGTTGTGGCCGTAAACATTGTAGATGTAAGTGAAAAACGTAATTTTGTACTATGTAATTTATAGATAAATAATTCACGTGCATGGAACATGAAATATTCTAAAGTTAACATTTTTTTTTATCTAAAAGTATATTCTTAAAATAATTAGGTGCTGATTGAATTAGCAAACATAAATAAAATGTTCCGTTGAACATACGTGTAATAGAGCAGGTTTGGTTGTAGCGTTTCGAATAGTTTTTAATGTCGGATGGAAATGGAGAGACTACACCACGACCCAATTTAATCAGTCACTGGAGCGTGAATGTCGCTGCTCGCTTTGAGACGTGTGACTGAAGTCTTAATTGTATTGTAACAGTGAATACTCGACCTACCTACTTTACCTAGTGCATTACTGCTTTATGTCAGATATGCCGACAGTTACACCAGACTTTTACTGGTGGTACTCTTGAGTCCGTACGGGTAGGTACTACCACCCTGCCTATTTTTGCCGTGAAGGAGTAATGCGTTTCGGTTTGAAGGGTTGGGCAGCCGTTGTAACTATACTGAGACCTTAAAACTTATATCTCAAGGTGGGTGGCGCATTTACGTTGTAGATGTCTATTGGCTCCAGTAACCACTTAACACCAGGTGGGCTCTGAGCTCGTACCCATTTTAGTAATTAAAAAAAAACTCCTGAGGATAGACAATATGCGACAATAGAAGTCGGAGGCGGAGCCAGTATTTTCTCTATATCTGGGATCTGGATATATAATACTTATTCTTGTAGGGTAAGTATTTTCGATATTTATAACGTAAAAGAAAATTCTAGTTCGGCCTTGTAGTATGAAATAAAATATGCAATTTTTGAACTTGGTTTTTTTTATTGCTTAGATGGGTGGACGAGCTCACAGCCCACCTGGTGTTAAGTGGTTACTGGAGCCCATATACATCCACAACGTAAATGCGCCACCCACCTTGAGATATAAGTTCTAAGGCCTCAAGTAAGTTACAACGGCTGCCCCACCCTTCAAACCGAAACGCATTACTACTTCACGGCAGAAATAGGCAGGGTGGTGGTACCCACCCGCGCGGACTCACAAGAGGTTCTATCACCAGTAATTTCGCAAATTATAATTTTTGCGGGTTTGATTTTTATTACACGATGTTATTCCTTCACCGTGGAAATCAATCGTGAACATTTGTTGAGCACGTATTTCATTAGAAAAATTGGTACCCGCCTGAGATTCGAACATCGGGTGCATCGCTCAACACGAATGCACCGGACGTCTTATCCCTTAGGCCACGACGACTTCAACTGGTTTTCTATGGCTTACGTTAGTTTATACAGGATGTTGTTTCTGCACCGTAAATGTTCATAAACAGAATTAGAATACAACTTTCCACATCTAATACTGAGAATCAGTAGCTGCCAGGATTACTAGGATAATTAACCGACCTATTCATTTATTTAATAGGGCTACGAGTGTCAAACTGTCAGAATTTATGTCAGTTTTGAAGAAGCACAATTATTTAACCGAATACTATTAAACATTACAAGCAAACGGAAGCGAGGGAGTCAAGATAATACACCTCCGCAGTAAAATGTGACTCGTAAATCTCCTATGTCCATTCAGTAGATTAATTGTCGGAAGCAATATTCACAATAGTCATGAAGATATTGTTCAAATACGTTTAAAAAGAGGAAAAGTAAAAGATTTCTTAATAAACAAAAAAATTGAATCAGCCGCGAGACTATAATGTGATATAATTGATTAACAATTCTAACACTCTAATTTAAGGTATGAAGTAAACAATTCTAAAAACGTGATTTACTAGGAATTCTTTATACATGTGTAGCTGGTAAAAAAGATGTAATTACCAAACTATATAAATATTATATTATTTTACTAGCGGAGACGCAAATGAACTCACAAATTATCAAGCATTGAGCCGATACCGGATTTAATAGATATCACAGATTATCGTCGGAATCAGTGGAAATTATAATATCATCTCTTAATCTTTGTGGAAGAATTGTGTTGTGTATGAAAACAGCTGACTTCTTCGACCTGAAGATATAGAAATACGTAATACTTCACAAGAGACGTCTACGAAGCAGTATCCTCGTAAAATCCTTAAAGAGCGTATTCATTCTTTCTGGTAACGTCGTTATGTGGCTTTCTGGGTTTTGTCCTGAAAACGTACTCCCCACGTTTTGTTCTTCTAACCAAACATTTACCTGAGGAGAACGTTTTCCCTCCTTCCTCGGTGGTGGCGGCAGGAGATCCAATGTTTTGGGACGAGTCGGTTCCTCTTTCCCTCCAACAGCTCCTTCTTCAACCACGACCTTCGACGTAGAAGCAGCACCAGACTCACATTCTGACGGTCCTTCTGTTGGCAATTTTTTTATTAGATTTTATTTATTCATGATGGTGATGACTTATAGATAAAAAGACTCGAACTAGTCAAGAACGACACGAGTGCTATTTATTTTAACACATAAAAAGATCGCAATCGTAATGTGGCATAGCTAAGTGCTTACATTGGTGACCACAGTGATAAATAATAATAGATTAGAGTATAGCAAAACGGTAATAAAATACATGTCAGCGACAAAAATGAAATATGTCGCTGGTTTGGAAGAAAAAATGTCACAGGTATCTAATCAGAGAACGAAAGGGAGATAGAGTTAGAGATGATGAGGGAGGAAGAGAAATAGATAGGGAGAGAGAGAAAGAGATAGAGATAGAGAGAAAAGGAGATAGGGACAAAGAGATAAATAATTTTAATAGCTGTAAGGAGTGTTTTCAATTTCAAGTACCCACATAACGACATTTGTGAAATATGTAGGTATCACGCGTTCTGGGATTCGCCCAAAATCACAATAATCCCAAAAAAAAAACGAAATCTAATATGCACATGGCTCTTTTTGTAATCGCTTCTTTATTTACCCGTTTGTTTACTTACTCGTATATCATTAATAGAGGGACATATTTTAGTAAGTATTTTCAAATTCTTAAGTCTTATTTTAAAACAAAAAGCATTTCATATTGCTTATTACATTAAGTTTATTTAGTGAACTAAGAAGAATACGTCTATCCGTTCTTTTTCTTGAAATACACACTTCGTTAGTTTGTTATGATTTTGTAGTGCTGAAATCCGTAAACAAAAAACGTTTACTTCACGTTCATAGATCCAGTGTGAAAAATTGAGACAAACAATATGGAAGGAAATACGTTATACTATAATGCTTATATTTGGGCTTCAATATTTAAATGATCTCACGGCGCCCGCAATGTGCTGCTCGCCTTTAGGTATTATATCGTCACTGCAAAACTGAGGCTGACTGACTAATCCGCTTTGCGAAACGTGGTCGAGAGAGATGGATATTTTACTGTACTAGAGATATTTTATTGTACTGCTTGCAAAAAGCAACTTGAACTGTTTGAACGTACACTCAGATGATTCATGTCTGTTATAGCTTATTGATAAATGTTTTTTATTATTGTTATTATTTTATTAATACCAATATATTCCGCATTGCACGAGGCTCTGGATGAATTTAAAAGCGACCAAGTTAGCCCGTGAGTCTGGTCGGTCGTAACGGGGAAAAGGATTAAATAATAAATTAGTGTAAACGAAGGTAAAGTCGTCGCGATTATACTAGTAGCACCAGCTGTGTTACATGATGCGGATGTCATAAAGCGATACATAAAAGCTAATTATAAAACACCCACATGAGAAGCGAAAAAAGAAAACCCGCTTTGTGCCAATGGCGGATCCAGGGGGGGGGGGGTCATGGGGGTCATGACCACCCCCTGAGCTGGTTCCAGGACTTAGGTGGACCACTAATTGAATATAATGATTTTATTTATATATTTTGTTACCATACAGATTTTATGTAACTACATACTTTCAATATTTAATTAATTTAATATAATATAATAACTTTGTATAATGGCAAACGTTTGGGAACGAACGCATCAAAATTTGACTATGTGACCCCTCCTGCCGCCAAAGCTGGATCCGCCCTTGTGCCACATAATATGCCGACTTTGTGTAAACAGCTCTTTGTGTAACAGGACTATCCACCTCACTAGGGGTGGGGTGTATAATAAAGCGCACGCTCGCGCTGTTTCACCATCGTTTCCACCATTTCTGCCGCAAATTTTACTACGCATACTTCGAGCTCATGTGTCGAGGCGTGTGGTAGCGTTCACAATTTAATATCTATGGACCACTGTAACCATTAGGCGCCTGGTGAGGGGTTTGTTCGTAAGTCCATTTGAAGGTCATTTTTTTTTTGGATGTATGTGTAATTTTAATTTTCAGAAGGTTTTTTTAAGAGGCTGTATATTAAAATTGTTATTAGTATCTCATTCTGTTATACTTTTTTTTGTCAAACGGTAATATAGTGTTCAAGATTATTGGAAGCAAATTAAAAAGTAATGAACTAGCGGACATGTTTAGAACGATACCAACTATCCCTGGGTGTTCACCACACACTCGCCCTATGGGTAAATTGAGAACAATCTATATATTAATACGTGAAGCAAAAACGTTGTATCCCTTTTTACGAAAATTGCACGGACGGAGGACTATGAAATTTTCCACACTTACAGAGAATATAGAGAAGAAGTGCACAATGCTAATATTCTTTTAAAATAATGCATAAAAGATACATTAAATCAATAAAGAAAACATTACACACACTACCATGTATTTGACGCACACAAGCATGCATCATGCATACTATTTATTGTCAAACTTTTGTTCTTGACGTCTGTTGTCCAATTGAGAATAGATTAAATATTGTTTGTCTTTGTTAATATTTTTTATAGTGTAGTCTTGGCGAAATTTGTGATTATAGAAGTATAAAATACAGTCATAATAGTGTACAAACTTACATTTCCAATTAATTATAGTCGAATTTCGACTACTGCGGGACCTCTAGTTAGAGTAAATATACGAGTATTTAAATTGTTATTTAAACTCATAATTAAAATGTAGTTCATACTGATGCGTTTTGTATAAATACGTTTACCGGTTGCCAAAGCTACACTAGTTTACGATAAGTCGTAACGTCGTGACTCGTCGTTTTAAATATCTTTACAATCTCGACAAAACAAAAAATAGTTAATATTTATGATAAAACAGAATTATATATATAGAATATTGAATTATATATTATATATATATAGAACTAAATCCAACAATTGAAAATAGAGGAACTGCTCATGGCATAGAATCCTTATAGCTTTTTTAGGACGGGTGCTTTTAGGCTTGAGCGGGGAAACCCTTAAAGCTCACAACTTTCTGAAGGCTGCGCAGGAGGCCTAGCTTCCATCATCGAATCGGATTCGCGATTTAAAAATCAAGTTAGAAACTGAGTATTCAATTTCATATCAAACTCTTCAAGCTCGATGACTTGTGCTCCGGGCTAATAGCGTTAGAACTACCAGCCACCGACAGCACTGAGAGTTGATCATATGGATCCAACAGGTCATGTCGATGGAAAATACATTGTAACATTGATATTTTTTTTAAAATATTTCTTTAATTTTTTTTCCTTTTTGATGCACAAAACCAATTACAATCATAGAAATTAATTAAAATTAATCTAAACTTACTATTTCTTTAATTATTTTTTTCCTTTTTGATGCACAAAACCAATTACAATCATAGAAATTAATTTAAATTAATCTAAACTTACAGTTCTAAGAACCGAATGAATACAAAAACTTTAGACGAATCCGTACAGAATCGATGTTTAGACAAAGCAAACCATTTTTATTCTTTTTATAACTGTTTTATTTTGACATACAATTATTTCGCGAGTTCATATTCTGATTCTGCTTAAAGTATTTAACCTTCCTATAAAGAAGATTATTTTACGTTAATGAGCTTACAAATCAAAATAAAAAAGAGTAGGTAAGTCAATTTGCCGACTTTTGTAGCTTAGTAACTTTGGGTTGGCCCAGAGTTTTTAAGCAATCTCTAAATCCGAAAAAAAGCTTATTATTCTTCCTAGCAACTAGCAGAGAATAGCAGTAAACAATTTAATTACGATAAGTTATGATTAAATTACGAGTTTATTTGTATATCCATATTTACAATATTTAAGGGAGTGAATATTAAATTTACAGTTTATTTATACGCTGAACAACAACTTAATTCAAGGAAAATAACTATTTAGTTTTCAATAGGTTTTGTTCTATTTAATTTTATACGATAATTTTATACGAATAATTAAGATTAACACTATTCGTTATTTTCGGTACGTTTATATTCTGGTAATCACTTTAAACACAGTAACTAATTTGAGCCCTTTATCCAAACAGCAGAAAATGTTCAAAGAAAGTAGCCTGAACTCATATAACCGGAGTTCAAAATAATAAATATATTTGCGGTGAACGAGCTATCTATTTTTAGTCCACGGCCTAGGTGATAATAAACCACCCATATAAAGGTCTTAGTCTAAGTAACTAACAACTAACTAATTAGTCAAGTCTGAACTGTAAGTTAAGAAAGAACAGAAATATTTTACATAAAATAAGTATGTATCAAAATATTTATTTTCAGAACGTAACAAGTTTTACTATTCGTTAATTTTATACTCGTAATCTTTTTTATGTAGTAATCGTATGTTATGATTTGAAGCGCCAATTAGAAGCGGATTGTACATTTTAATGTTGATTATGTGTTTAGATTATGTTATAAAATTATGGGATAACGCTATAAATCACGATGTATTCTAGGAAAATAACAAGTATAGTTTCGTTTGCCGTCAACGTATTATTTACGCGAGCCGACAAAAAAATTAAAATACGTACGTATTTTTCACGAAAAAATTTATCACTGTGGCCACATTAATAATATTCGCATAGCAAACAGTCGCTGGGCATTTATTTCGCTGTGATGAATTTCGCAGGTATCCGTGTGTGTGGCGTGTAATGGCGCCGGTCACTATTACTATGTAGGATCGTGTTGAAAAAAAAAACGACTGAAAAACATAGCGACAACGCGGACGTTAAACGCAAAAACTAAAATGAAAAATGAGCGCAGGTTTCAGAAAAAAAAAAATCACAAACGCAAAGATTTCGTTGCATAATAACTCAGAAATTCTTCTTTAAATTAAGATTATTAGTCACGTGAATGTGATAATAAATCTGCTAGAATTTTGTCAAACCTTTCGAGACGGGAGCATCACTGCAGCTGGCCACAGGTTCATCGACGGCAGAAGAAGTAGATGGAGCTGGCTGCTCTGGAGAATTGTTCTGCATCTTGTGGCATACTTCAAAGGCTTGCCCGACAGTACGCACGATCCGCATGGCCTGACTCTGCGGACAACGTAACGCCGATAAACAAAACACATTCAAAAATATTCTAAAAGACCATCACTATAACCGTGCTTTACAGGTATAAATATTTACTTTCCGTCCAAATGTTTAAAAAAAAAAATCTTTTTGCGTGAAATAAACGCGAACGATCTCATACAAAATGCACAAAAGTGGGTTGGATTCGATTACCTTGTGTTCGCATCTGAAAAACGATGAATCTTTTTTATTTCTGTTAACGAGTAGACGCTCACAGACCACCAGGAGTTAAGGTCACGTCACGGTCGAATGAAAAGCTTTAATTAATTTAGGCTTGCAGAGTATGGGAAGTTTAAAATGGATATAATTAAAATATAGTTTTTTAAACTTTACAAACTGCTGCACTAAGTATAACTTCGCTTTAATATGGTTTTTGTAGTTTATAGTAATCCGCGCTTCCGGCTATAATATAACATGAAACTGACCATGCAATGTATCTATGAGCCTTCAACTACTTTGCACTAAAGATAAATCGATACTATTGTAGTTGTTTGTGAGTTCTGCTCTAATTACTCATACAGTCTGACGTGATCTTAGATTTCATTAGATTTATACAAACTATAGCTAAATGACGAATAATTCTTAGAATAAATCTTGTGTATTATTTCATTTCATCGTGCTGATGTCGAATGAATGGACATTGATTAATCGTAAAAATATAAACATGTCGTTTTAGTATGTGTACTCTTTAATGTCATAAATACCATAGATATTTGTCCTTGTGTTTGACAGTTTATTTTTTTCAGTTTAGCTCTTAAAACTTATGATTTCAAATTAAAAAAAAAATATGATTTCCAAAATAAAAAGAGTAAGAATTGCGAATTGTGTGACGTTTGAGAAGATTTCAATTTTGGGAATTTAACAAATTTTCGTGCATTCAAAAATCTATTAGCTGTTATGTTAATATGGCGCCATCTAATTTTTAATACAACGATTAAGGATCCGACGAAATTTACTGAAGATCGAGTTATTCGCACTAACGCAATTTATTCTTAGATAAAATTGTTTAAACTGCGAGGAGCGGGAATTTACATTCAAGAAAAACGTATATTTTTTGTGGTCAACCCAGTTTTGAACTGTGAAGTTTCTAAGACTGGTCACTAAAAGCCGATTTCGGTTTAATTTAAAACTCGTCAGAGCTCAATGTGATAAAATAACACATAATGGAAATACAGAGGGATAGTACTACGAATATTTCACAAAAGGGCATAAAAGGGTGTGGATCCGCTCCGGCGTGGGAGATGACATATGTTTAATTAATGTTCCTCATTCAACCAGAGTAACAGCGAAGCGTGAGAATTAAACGAATCACAAGCATTATGTTCGACATCAGATAGGCTATTACGGCGCGTGTGTTTACAAATTTGAGTGACTTTAATAATTATAATAGTATTTAAGGTAAAAATTACTATCGTTGTAATCAATAAAATGACACTTCAAAAGCGAAAAGCGACACTCAAATGTCAATCATTTATCGTTTTCATGCATTAAAACTGTATAATTTCAAAACTTACTAATTTTACAGGAGAGTGTTTTAAAAGTTTAACATGTGATATTTTTAATATAAATCATCTTTGCAAAATTATTTTTTTATTTTTTACCAGTTACATTATCTGTCTTTTAAAGTAAAATAAAATTATCTATTTAATTTTGTTAATAGTACATAGTCAAAACATAGGTAAACTAAAAAAAAAAGAAACTAAACTATGCTCTTTTGACAGTATTTATGAGAAAAATACTGGTGGTACCAAATAATTCCGCATATTAACCCAATTTCGAATATTTTTTGGAAATTGTACACTTTTAATGCGAAAATATAATAATATTATAATAAGGATAATAATTTAGTCTGCGATAAAGTGAGATAGAATACTTCTGAAGATCCCACTTCTATCACATGTGAACTGCACATACGCTTTTTTGGAAGAAAAACTGCTTTATCGTCGTTGTTATATTCGAATTCCGATGACAGGAAAATGACAACTCCACGAAAACACATCTGCAGGACTTAGAGATAATGATATCTAATACTTCTGAAGGTGAACAGCAAATATGTTTCAGACAGATTACTTTAGTGGATTTCATTTATCTACGTAACCTTTTACTGTTGCTTTTCGTCCTCCATTAACAATTGTAATGGACGGGAAAATTCAGCATCAAGCAGCTGTTTCGCTTATTGACAGATAGATACTTCGCTTGACTGTCAGTGTCAAGCCGTAAAAAAATTATCAATGATTACAGCCGATTGAGTTTATGTCATTAATCAGCAAGTGTTAGTTCACTAGGAAGGGTTATACCGCGTCACGTTTAATTGTTTTGCCTTAACTTCTAATATCATCAGAAACAATAAAAATTACTCTTATTTTTCATAAGATTATAAATTTACTTTAGTACACAGACAAGCCCACAGCCGACCTGATGAAATGTGATCACTATCTACTATGGTTTGTCAAGTAGATCCACTAGGTTAATTTTTTTTGTATAAATGCTCTCGTAAAATGCAACTAATTGTTTTATCTCTAGCTTCCGACGTCAGAACAAGATGACTGAAGACCAGTAGATTTTGGGTAATATTAAAAAAAAATGTAAATCGAAAGATATACGATAGGCTTTATACAGTACATACGTCTGACACACTGTATTTTTCTTGATATTTTCATGGATTGATAACTACATTTTAGTGACCGTTTTATAATAATAACTTGGCTGTGTAGTCGGCCCAGAATAACTTCATTATATTTCATCCCGTGGGTGTCGTAAAGGCGACTGACACGGGACAATGGACAGCACTGTTCCCTGAGTATTATAGCAGGGTAATGCGATCGCTAATCGCATTTACAGGTGGAAAAGCGTCTTGTAAGACCGCACGGGTAGGTATCTCCCATCCAGCCAAGTTTCTCTTAATATTGTCTAGTATGTTTGTCATCGGGGTCTATTACACATAAGCAGTAAACTATTTTTGAGTTATTGTTATTGCTTAGATGGACGAGCTCACAGCCCACCTGGTGTTAAGTGGTTACTGGAGCCCATAGACATCTACGACGTAAATGCACCACCCACCTCGAGATATAAGTTCTAAGATCTCAAGTATAGTTACGACTGCCCCACCCTTCAAACCGAAACGCATTACTGCTTCACGGCATAAATAGGCAGGGTGGTGGTACCTACCCGCGCGGACGCACAAGAGGTCCTACCACCGGCAATTACGCAAATTAAAATTTTTCGGGTTTGATTTTTATTACACGATGTTATTCCTTCACCATGGAATAGCAATGGACGACGATTTTTAAAATTTGTACGGTTCTTTATTAAATGGACAGACCCATTACAATGAGTTTCAGTTGAATCGAAAACAGATACATAGTCGCAACATAACAGTTAAGCTTTGTGTATCGAACTGTAAGAGATAGCAATAACAAAATTCACGTTCGCGGACACAGATTATATTCAGTGTTTGACAGTAAATTCGAAACTTTGTATGCTCCGCTCACGTGAGTGTGTAGATAAAGCTAATGGGAACGTTAGCAATATTCATTTACGCACTCTTGTTTGCACAAGGCCTCATATCTTCAAGGTGGTTGGCCACAACCACGTTGTGATATGTATCTAGTCATAATCACTTCCATCAGATGGACCCTGTATTGAAAAGTACGTATTTTAGGGAAAACAACGTTGCAATGAAAATTGGTTTTAATATTACATTAACTTTATGATACAAGAAATAATCAATTATATACTATTTTTAGTATTTCACACCGTATTTGCGAAATACAAATTTAATTCTGCTGCTCGCAAAAATATTATACCAGTAAATTATTTGTTGTCAATCTTAATAGTCCCGAGAGCCCATTCGTTGCCCTACACCAACTTTCCGCAACCGAGCAAAAAGTACTCTAAAGATTAAATCGGCTATTTTGTTATTACATTTTTTATTGGATACTTTTATTTAATTTTTTCTTACGGTTCTAGTGTTTTCTAATTTTGAATTTCGTTGTTTTGTTACTTTGAAGAGTAATGAATAGTAATAAGAAATAGTTGTGTAATAAATATGTTTTACTTAATTTTTGCGTGATTCATAAAATTATTTGTTCATTCATCTACTTGAACCATGCACCGGCACATGCTCTTTTTTACTATTCGTAAATTGAAACCTCAGCTGTTGTAGAGTGCAGTATATAACTGAATCAATAAGCGGTATATTTGTGGTTAAGTATGGTCGATCCTTTTTGCAATTAAAATGCGTTCTTTATTTGTATTTAATACTGCCAATACAGAACGAAAGTCCGCAATGGTCAATTCGACCGTCCTCTGAACGAATGGAGCCTATTTGTATGAAGTCGTTATTAAAATGAATTTGTAATTTTAATGCTATATCTCAATAAAAGCGGCATTTACGCTGTGATGCGTACAAACATATTCCTGTGATTTCTATCTGTCCATTTCAGAAAATCAAATAAAAACATAAAAGGCCAAAAGGTTCACAAAATACGACGACATTTTACATAGTTTTGATAAATCTCTCGTCTAATTCTGTGTAGAAAAATCTCTATAATCAATGTTTAATTACATTTTCTAGAATTCGCGATGGAACCAGAATAGATCATGAAACGAAAATTTTGAACTGCTTCGCAGTATTGAGTTACAGAGTGAAAACGATCAGGATCAAATTCGCCTAATCGACGGAACGTAGTGGACATGAAACATTGAGCTGAAACGCGGCTCGCTGCCAAAAACCAGCGGCATTACTTTAATATGCATTTCCAGTAAAAGATTAGGTATGTCCGACGCTGCTTGTCACCCATCGTTCCCGCCACATAAATTGACACTGATATGACATATACCTACACACGAACGGAAATACACAAAGCGTGACAGATATATTAATAACATTTATTTTTAAACAACTCAAAATGCAACTCAAATGCTACCTGGATTTTAATAAGAAAAAATAAAAGGAACTTACA